ATATACAGGAAGCAGACCACAGCCTAAAGGCAGCTACTCAGCTGCTTGTGGTAGATCCCATCATGGAGTTGATTGCCAGTCTCATCATGGGGAATAACTACCACCAGCTGCCCAGCCATTCAACTAGGCCCAGCCAAGTTGACACACAAACTGAACTAACACACACATGCACACACACACACACAAAGCAACTCCCAGTAGATTGCTATTGTTAGTTGCCATGGAGTCGGTTCTGGCTCATGGACACCCCTGTGCGCAGAGTAGGACTGTGCCACAGGGTTTTCAAGGCTGGGAACTTGCACCACCAGGCTGATCTCCCCAGGTGCCTCTGGATGGGTGCAGACTGCCAACCTTTTGGCTAGTAGTCAAGGGCTTAACCATGAGAGGTTAAATATCAGAGACAATCTTTAAATCTCTAAGTAGAAAATATAGATGAATGCCACTGAATTAAACACTTAAAAGTGTTTAATTGGCAAATGTTTCGTTATATTTTTTTACCACAATTTAAAAAAGAAAGAAAATACCAATGAAACTCTTGTAAATGTTACAAGAGGGAAAGATTTCTTAAAACAAAATACAAAACACATTGACTATGAATGACTGAAAATCTGACTGTTAAAATCAAGAACTTTGGCTCATCAAAGCACATCTTAAAGCAAGTGAAAAAACAGGTGACAAACTGGGAGCAGGCATTCAGGATGTTTACTGCTGGCAAGGATTAGGGTCAAGAGTCATGAAGAACTCCTACATGTCACAGGAGAGACAACAGGCATGCAGGAGAAGTGGGCAACAGGCGTGAACAGGCATCTCAACAAGAGGAAAACACATGTGACCAAGAAACACACAAAGAGAGGTGTTCAAAATCAGTGATCAGAGAAACACAACTCATGGCTAGAACAACTCACATTTCACACATGTTCAAGCAGCAAAATTAAAATGCTGAAAATATCAAATGTGGGATTTTGCAATATCTTTTATGCATTGCTGATGTGGTTGTGCAATGACTTTGGAAAGAGTGTGGCATTTCCTCCCAAAGCTGAATATTTCTCTAGTTTATGATCTAGTGATTCCACACGTTAGACAGTGGAGCAGCAGAGGACATAGACAAGAATGTTCACACCAGTGTTCACAACGGTGAAACTGTGTAAAGAACCTGAATGCCCACCGTGGGAGAGAGGGTGGATGAACCTACCAGGAGCTGGCCACACAAGGAATACTATATATCAGTGAAAAGTGAATGCAGTACAACAACATAGACATTTGTTGGTGTGTGCCACCCGGTCTATTCCCGCTCATCGGGAGCCTGTATGACAGGGTAGAACTGCCCTGTAGGGTGTCCTCGACTGTAATCTTTACAGGAGCAAATTGCCAGATCTTTTCTCCAGGTGAGTGGCTGGTGGGTTCAAACTGCTGAGTTAGCTGCAAAGCACTTAACCACTGCACCACCAGCACTCCTTGGGTAAAACTTCAAAACTTAACTCACTGCCGTGCAGTCAGATCTGACTCATAGCGACCCCTCCTTGGGTTTCCAAGGCAGTATCACTATGGAAGTAGATTGCCCAGTCTTCCTTCCAAGAAGTGGCTGACGGGTTTGAACTGCCAGCCTTCTGGTTAGCAGTCAAATGCCTTAGCCACTACACCCCAGAGCTCCCATTGAGTAGAAAAGAAAACCCTGAAAGATTACTTACATGTTTTAAAAAAAACCTGAAATACAAATATTTGCTTTTAAGAACACATGAAACTTTTTTTTTTAAATTATGGAAATGGAACGCAAGGCCCTGAGTTCACAGGATTCAGGGTGATGGGCTCGTCTGGCCCAGGCAAGAAGAGGGGCCACGTGGTTAGATGTGGCTACAGCCCAGCTCTTGGCTTTTGTTCTAGGTGGTGGGTTCATGAGTGGTTATTGTTGTGACATGCCATCAAGTGGATCCCTGCTCCTAGTGACCCTGTAGGACAGAGTAGAACTGCCCATAGGGCTTCCACGGCTATAAGTCTACAGAAGCAGCACTGCTGGGTGTAAAGGTGCTTGTTACAATATTTAAAATAACTGGTAGCTTAGTGGTGACGGCATTTGGCTGCTAACGCAAAGGTCACCAAGTGGAGGAAAGATGAGGCAGTCTGCTTCTGTAAAGATTTACAGCCTTGGAAACCCAATGGGGTTGCTCTGAGTTGGAATTGACTTGCTAGCAGTGAGTTTTTTGGTTTACAAATAAAAATAGCTCATACAATGGCCAATGATAAGAGTGGCTCACGAGCAAAAAATAGTGACCCAAGCAATTCTATGCTCTTCAGGACCAATAAAAGTGAAATATATTTCTTACCAAGGGTGTGACCAGCAAGTGTGAACGCTGGAACGCAGTGTGCTCAGGAGCACGAGGTGACCCCCAGGCTGTGCTGGGGCACGTGGCAGAGGTGCAGGGGTGCTCACCGGGGAGGGGTGGACAGGTGCGCAGGACATGTGGCTGACGCAGGAGGGGCACGGTGCATGGGGCTTGTTATTCGCAAAGCACGCAGTTACCTGGCCTAATTTGCCGGGTTCCAAACATCACAGGGCAATGTAGTATAGCCAGTCCCTCTGCCCCTGAGTTTGCGCCCCCTCCTGTCACGTGCATGGCCCTTGGCTGAGCATCAGCTAGTCCCTCTCTGGGGTATGTGGGTGGCTGCTGGGCCCTAGTGAAGTTGAAACAAAGCTTCATTGTTGTTGCGGGATTACCCAGAACCTTGAATGGCTCCGCCCTGGCTGCCAGTGGGGAACCAGGCAGGCCCGGCTGGCCTTTTGGGAGCAGGAAGCCGGGTTGGGGCTGGGGTCTCCATCATAGGTGATGCCCATTTATGCTCAGCCCAGGCACTGTCCCTTCATGGGGACAATTAGTCCTCATGCCCCTCTGACCATCTTCCCCACATGGCTGCCACCCTGGTGTCACCTTGGTAGGTGACATGTAAGGCTGAGCACCAGGACGTAGTCTGAGGCCAGCCATCCACTCTAGCAGGTTTGTTTGTTTGTTTGTTTTTCATTTTTTAATTTATATTGTGATTTGGGTGAAAATTTACAGAGCAAATTCATTTTCCATACAGCACTTCATACACATTTTGTCTCATGACATTGACTGCAATTCCCCACAATGGAACAGCTCTCTTCCCACTTCCTCCCCATAGTTTCCTCTTCCCTGTGTCCTTCCCTCCCCTGGACTCCTG